CGAGGCGTGGTCAGAGCACCCCTGGTGACCGCACTGAGACACCTAAATCTAAAAATATGTCTATCTATCTATATAAAATCTATCTCCGAATCTATCCAGACGCCACCACTAAAAGATGACCAAGATAACAAATAATGCGAGCTCCCACATCCGAACATGACACACGGTTGTACGCCACGTACTTGGTTCTACGCCACGCTACAGGCTGCACGAAACGCGCGCGGTTAAGCCGCAAGGTTACGGTGTCCCATACCGATCATTGTATTGGAATATCACTTACCACGATTATCAGGTACCACGAACATTGCTCAAGCCTTCCGTGTTCACCGACCAGTGCCCAAGCCATCGCGTGCCCACCGCCCGCCGCTGCGGTAACCGGTGCTGCGAAGTTCAAGTGAGATTGGTACGCAGGAAATCCGTGTTTTTGCTTCCAAAGATTGCGAGTGCGCGAGCTCAAAACTATTTTATGTGTTCTTTATTGATAGATTTTGTGTAAGAGTGGATATCTACACGCAATTTTATGCTAGGATGCCAATACAATCTTTTGATTTCGTTTCCATCCACTTCATTGAACAAAAAAAGACAACAAAAAAACTCACCGTCTCCAAGCAGCACCGTCACCATCTGTGAGTAGAACACCAGGGGCACGTTACCTTTCCCGGTTGGGACCTGAAGGATCCCTCCGTACCAGCCTGGGGTGTCAAACGACTATCATTCTGAAGACAGGGGCCCTCTGGTCTACCAGAAGGCCCGCTCTTTAGGAATTAGGCCGAAACTTTTGAGTGAATGAGTTTCTGGGTTTAAACCCCACGCTACGCAGTGCTTGTCGCGCAAACCCTGACCCCATCCATCCGATCGTGAAATTCCAGATCAGCGGTAGAATTTGGTAGCAAAAGTTTAACGCCACAAAGTTCAACCCTCTGACGTCACCTGACCTTCAGCGCGACTGCTGTCACCGGCTGCAGGCCATCCCAGTCAAGGGCAAGTAGCGAGCGCCAAAAGCTACTCGAACCCACTCCGTCACAGGTAAGTGGGTCGGAAGGTCGGCGCTCCGTTCAACTGAACTACCGCGGGACGGAATCTTAATCCATGAATGCGTTGTTCGATGCATCCCTCAAAAGTATATGTCATACATCGGTTCCCTCTCCCCCTCCCCCCTCCCCCCCGCCTGAAGGTAGAGGTGCTCTGACCAGAACAGGTGGTCACGGATCGACGGTGGGGCATTCAATAACGCAAAAGGATCCCTTACCTGCGTACGACCGCGCGCGCGCGCTCGTGCAAAAGCAACAGACTGCAGCGTCTTTGATCGTTTTTCCAGGGTTGATGCTTCAGCGCCCCGGCCAGGCCGGGCCAAACTTTTGCCTTTTTTAGGCGCCCAGATATTCGCATGAACTCGCTGTGCCGCAACAAAACTTTCAGCAGCATCAAGCACGGTTCCTTGAAAGTTGCATCGGCATGATTGCAGGATGCCTCAATGGAAGCTTTTTTACTTTACGTGCGTACTTTTTACTTTACCAATGTACTTTGGCCGACTCGCAATGACATCGCTATTCCATTTTATTTACTCCTATATTATTCGACTAGTGCTGGAAGTGTAAAAGTGAACTCTCGAAAAAGCCGAATAATGCAGGCCGGAAACAGATCAGGATCTTGGCGACCAGACATAACGGTGACAGAAGAGTAACCAAACTGTGCGCTTTAGGCGAGCGAAGACGGAAACGATTTCTAGACGGTGCGTCAAGCACTGCCGACCCCTGACCAGCACAAGAGTCCCCTCATTGTTTCAAAATGATAGGCCAGCGGCAGCCGGGCTCTTCCGTGACAGCCCGGGGTCACTAGCGGCCGGCATTCTGACGATACGGGACCGGGGCTCATGTTCCTGCGGACTGCAGGCCTTCTGATGGATACATCGTACACAGGTCCCTTCACTGATGCGGCAGCATATGAAGGAATATTCAAATGCATTGGAAGTCTCCTCCATATATGTTGCCAAAGAAACGGCATGCTTTGCACACAATTTGTTGATCGTATACATTGTGGTGACGAGCTAGCTCATTCCACGCTACTAATAAACAATACCAGAGACACATATTGTGGCATTAGTACGTGATGTTGCGTCAGATTGTGCCAAATAACACCAGTGACAGTTGGTGTGGCAGCTGCGGCGCTGTCAGTGAAATTGACTTAATTTTAGCATTTCGGCTTAACACGGATGCTCACCTCATCAGCTATGACACCCCAAGTTCTTTCACCGTCCTTTACGTTGGGACACACGTGAGGGTTATCATGCACATCAGGCGCTCTCGACTCACGGGATGGGGGCGAGGGATGTTGACATGGTCAAATCATGTCTTATTCCAAAAAGATAGCCGTCCAGCCAGTGTCAACAGGTAGGCGCTGGCTGAAAGGTGATATTGCACATACACGGCCATGCACCACGCGCGCTGAGCCGAAAATGCTTGCTATAGTAGTGAAGCAACACGAACAGCATTTTCGCGAATTTGGAGCGTTCAAGTGTGGGCGAGATTTCAAGAGCTCGAATGGTTGATGTTTCGTGCCTTCAAATGTAATAGCTGTGGATAAGACTGCCGAGGATATCTCAGTTGCTTACATGATCCTGTTCACAATATGAAATGAGAATACGCTTTGCTTAAAACTGGCTGAGTTTTGTTGTTTGGTTTGGAAGGAATCATAAGGCGATTAATCCTCAGGGGAAAACATAGCTTAAAAGATTGCAAACACCACTTCAGGTGATACGAAGATCGAACGAACTGAACCCGACATATTCGGAACCCCTCACAAACTACTCGCTCCAATACGTTCTAATGCTCATCTCTCATGAAAGTTTGGCAGGAATGAGATCGTTGATGTAACGTTAAGGCCGTTATTCAACGGTTATGTCGGCTGGAAAAAATGGCCGAGTGTAAGCCACTCAAATCTTTGGTCGGTCGATGCTGTCCAATGAAGTCCGTTGACAGAATCCAATAAGGTACGATTATGCGGTCGATCAAGTGCACGATTTTTTAAATAGCTTTCATTTTGGCAGCTGCGGCCAAAGCATTCTAGTTGATGCAATTTGTTTTGATAAAAGAAAAACACATTACGTGGGTTGTTGATTGAAATTGTAAGGAACATTATTCACATAGATAAGACAGTGGTAAAAGCCTTATTCCTCGGAGAAAAAAAAACAAGAGAATGGAGACATAAATGCGTTTATTAAAACTAATAGCAGAAATGAATTTATATTTATTCGCTGTGGAATTGGCGCATTCAGTTAATCAATCTCCAAATCCGTAGGGAATGTCAGCATGGTTTTCGCCGTAGTTTCACGAAAGATAATTCGTAATATTAAATGAGTGATACGTGAATATTCTTTCTGCACATCGCTTCGATAAAGGCAGCAGGCCAAAATAGCATCGCATCTATATCTCCACTTTCCTGTTTTTTTTTCCGGGAAATAATGTTATTACTACCGTCTTTTCTACGATCACATTACAGTAGGGTTCACGCCTGGGCGGCCGTAACGGACATAGCATTCTCGGCTTAGTCCATGGGGAGCGGCAATCGAAACTGCCTCATAAAATAGTGGAATTGGCGACCACGCGGTCAATATTTCACGAAACTATGGTGAGAACCGTGTCGACATCGCCTATGGATTTGGTGGCGGTACATTTTTCACCAGCGTACAGCCAGTTTCTAGCTTTGATCTGCTTTGGTCGCCGAGATGTGACACCATTCGTGGAATGCCCAGAACAGGCGCACCCGTGGTGCGCGCCCCGGAGCGAGTGACTCGCTGCACTATCTGACCCACTCTTTTGTCAATCTCTCCCCCCCCCCATCTAGCGGTGCTGGTTTCACGCTGTTGCTGCGGCGCTAGGTGCCTGATATCCGGGCTCGGTGCTGACTCGCCTTGTGAGCCTGTTTTGCCGTCCACCAATGTTTCATTTCTCATATGAGGGATGCGAGTGAAGTGTTGTTTTGGTGATATTGCTATACTGGAAAACAAATAAGCCGTATTTATTGATGATGGCGTTGCTGGAACCATTCAAGATGCCATGCAAATGCAATTGCTTGATGAAGGAAGGATGATTTGTTGTGACGTTAGCTATTAAACGTCATTTGAGCTTGGCCGTGAAACTGTACTGGGTGCTATATGACCGTAAGCATTACGAGCTCAAAGGTCTAATACGATTAGTGATATCGATTTGCGCTCATAAACAGCAAGCATGAAACTCAGTCACTGGCATAGGGCATATGCTTGGTATGAAAGCTAACGTCATTTTAGGCAGCATGAATAAATATCGTGCTTACCGTTATCTCTTAAGCAATAGCCGATTGTTGTTTGAAAGTTTGCACGTTATCCAGAACTAAGCTAATTTCATTTCTCAGCCATTTAACTCGAGAAACCCTCGAAACATTCCTCTGGTCACAGCGGCTATACTGCGGCTGTGATCGCTTACTTGTGCTGCAGGAATGAACGTTTGCAGAACTTTAAGGACAGACCTCCAGCACTAGGCTGACCCGCCGCACACCGCAGGGATGCGGGGCAGCCTACCTACGCAAGTAAGGCCTCGGTGCACGGCTGGTGATGAGGTTCACCGCAAGGCTGCACATGCCCGCCTGCTGCCCACATCCTGACAGCTCACAGCATCTCCTCAGGGATCAGACCCAGGGATGCCTCCGACCGCAGCGTCTCTTTAAGGATCGGACGCAGAGATGTTTCCGCCCGCAGCAACCGTTCGTAGTCTGCAACCGGCAGCGTTCCCTGAAGCGGCTCCCGTTCGGGGGCAGTATTGCCGCTCCCATTCCCACAGCGTTCCCGGTGCCGTGCTGACTCTGGGGCCGGCTCCGGCGACAGCTCCAGCCACGTTTGACGCCGCGTGCCGGACGCACCGCCGTCTCCGGGCGCCGGGGCGGCCGGCCGGCCGTGCGCGCGGCCGGTGCGCCGTCGCACGGCCCGCGTGCCAGGCGGCCAGGTGTCAGTCGGAGCCGAGCCGCGCGGCCGCTCCAGCTGGCCGAGCGGGCTGGGCGTCGCCGCCACGGGCCGGACACAGTGCCTTTTGAAGCAGTGCCGGGCCAGACCGACGCCCTGCAGCGGGTCGACTGCCGCCTGTGGACGCACCCGCCGCACAGCCTCCACAGGCGCGCTCAAGTGTGAGGTCGAGAGGGCGGTGGCGGGGGCAGCTCGGCGCGCATCGCCCATGGGGAGCCGGCAGGGCCTAGCGGTGTGACGCACGGCGGCGGTCGCGACCGCGGACCGATGCTGCAGTGACGGATCTTGGCGCGCTTCGCGGTGTGAGTGGACAGAGCGGGCGGCGATCCCGCCGGGATAATGACGATGTCCTCAAGTCACAGGGAGAATGAATCGCACGAGTCGACCTACAGCGCGGCCAAGATTCAGGAGGTAAGGAAGCGTGACAGACAACTCTTTACTGGGTGCCGTATACTCGGCCGTGCCTGTGCAGTCGTTTAGTTTGGTGAATGGAGGTGAATGTTCACTCGAGCTGCACGTTCGGGCCAGCCATTGACATGGGTGCAAACTACGTTACTTCAGCATATTATCAGTTTCAGACACTCCGATCTCTCATCATCGCGGCACCACAGCGATATCTAGAGCTTTTTCGGCGATAAGTGGGATGTGACCGTATGTTATTCATCCGATAATGTGCCTGAAAGTTGGTACTGCGGGCGCTTCCACCAAGCGCTGACCTTTAATTCACTGTGACTGAACTAGAGCGTATCTAACCTTACCATTAAGCCGATAGCCGATTTATTGCGGAAAAAGGTTCACCGCTGTGCTAATGCAGACGCCATACTTACCTTACCTGTCAAGCACCTCTCTCTTGTGTGACAAGATTTTGCAAAATGCACTGACGCAAATTTGTATTATTCTGCAGCATCATAGTAGTGAAATCTCTTGATCCTTACCACAGTCCCACTGCGTGGATAACTGGGAATGGAAAATGTCCCTGGCCATTTGGAAACTAGTAGCTAAAACAACAAGAGGAACACAGGCTGCCGAAACACAAGAGCGTGGTGCGTTTTTCTGTATTTTACTGGAAACAATAGCTTTCTTGACGGGAAGGCTATGTCTGCTGTAAAAAAACTCAGGTACAGTTGAATCTTTTGGATGATATTCTGTCACGTTTTCCCGTCAAGCAACTGAAGATTGTACGTGGAGCTTAATTCCATCTTAAAGGAAATGTTTTTCCATTGTGGATAGCTAAGCAAGGATCATGTCTAATGAAATAAGCTCACTTAAAACAATTGATATATTTTTAAGCGGAAATGGCTGGTCCCTGCCACACAGTTTCTCTTTTTGGTAAAAATGCTCCTCAATTCGTTCTTGTTTTATTGCGTAATAGAAAGCACATAGGATGTTAGAGGGGCCAAACTTGCCGTGCAAAATTGCCTCCGTACTACCCACTCGCACTTGAACTTGCCGAGATGTGGCAGTGACGGTCCTGGACGTGTTTGCTGAAGCAAATATCGTTGTGCCCGTGTTTTGGCCCTTCCTCGTGATGCTTTTGCATACTTTTCCGTGAGTTCAACTTGTTTACTTGCATTCACATACTCGGTTATGGCGTTATTCTTAAGTCGTTCTGCTGCAAGTCTTAATTTTGAAACAACTAGTACCCAGACCCAACTTTGTATTGTGTGTCACAGCGTGTGATTAGTGTTTGGAACTTGCGTTGCTCGCATAACATTGAATGAGATCCAAATTCAAATATGTTACATATGTACATTACCTACTCACAATTGCCAAATGACTCGACGATTATATTCTTCTTGGCCTTGATCGTCGTGTGGCCAATGGGATGGCAGCATTTGAATGTTGTTTCGATGGCGTCATACATGCCTGAGTAACCTTGAAATAGTCTAGGCCTCTTCGTGAGTGTTTATCTCATAAACTAGAGAATTTTAGGTCTGATGAAATGCAGGACTGCGAATTGCACCGAATGATCTTTTGAAATAGGTATTCAAGCTCTAAGCCCCGTACAAATGTGAACCACTTCCTTTAAATATTCATTAAACTTGCACTGATTTTGCTTGGTCACACATCCTTTCAAGCAAATAAACACGTCATCCTTTCTTACTCGCGCTAAGTCCACCGAGCACTGTTCAATCGTAAAAGCGCGGGAGTTTGTCAAGGATTCAAGAGTCCAGAGGCACTTTGAGTGGTTTCTTTGCATGTGCTACCATAAGCTGAGTGTTAGATTTGCCAAAATGTTGGAGGAGGTGTCCCCCCCCCCCGAAGTTCCCCGCATCACGTGACAGCTCCGACGCCTACGCCCTTCGAGAAACTGGAATGGAGGCTTGACGAACATTATTCAGCCCATTCTGAGGGTAGCATGCAACCACGCCATTATAATCATCGATCAAGTTGCATATTCTTTCTTCGAGTGTCCCATTTTTCAAGTTGTTCTTTGCTTGCGTAGCCCCACAAAACCATTTTGAAAGTTAAGGCGAAATTGTTCACTTCCTGAAAGCTATGAGCCTGGTAGTGTCACAAGCAAATAAGCACGCCTGAGAACATAAGCTGCCACGAGCTTGGGGTGGGATCACGGTCGGAGCCAACACAGAGACAGCCTCGAGCACCGCAGACTTTAGTTCAGTTCTTGATTGCATCGTTCATTTTCTCTCAGTCAGTCACCTTTACTGATTCACTCACCTCCGGCCAGCTGTCTCTATACCACGAATTTCATGGTGCTACTGTCTTTAAACTAAGGTTCTCCCCTCCAACTTGCATGCCTGCCCTGGTTACCGCAGTCCTAATCACTTTGATTTAGTGCTGCCCCACAGATCCTCTGGAACAGCGTCGACACATACATCTCAATTTAGGAAGATCTCTACCTCGTTCCCCCCCCCCTGCCTTTCTTCGCAATATGTATTTCTTTGAAACTCTTGTCGTTGTAATTTTGTTTTTAATTCATTACTCGCGTATACCTTTGACTAGATTTATAATATCCACTGGGTGGATGAATTCTAAAGAGACTGTTTCACGTCTGCATGGGGTTTTTAACTGAAATAAACTCACAGCTATGCCCTTGTTAAGGCTTCAAACCTACTTATTTCTGATCTTGACGCACGCGAACCTGTGCAGCCTTTTTCTCAGTGCCAGTTTGAAAGCCATTGAAGCATGTATGACGCCAAAGAAGCGTCACGCGGAACCCACACCTCATTGGCCGTATTGTGCCCATAGTCAAGAAAAATATGACTACCGACGCACTCGTGTCTGGAGTGCGTCGGCACCGCATGTCCCAACGACAGAAGGCAAAGTATTTGAGCAGGTCTACTAATTATGACGGACATGAGGCTGAGAATCTAATGAATCATGAAAAACACCTTACCTGAGAATGTAGATATAAGTAAAATAACATGCCGCCACCAAATATTTACAAGAACGTTACGAGAAAAAGCCAAACACAGGCACATCCTTGTATTAACAAAATGTAAACGCCTTGACTACTAATGACATCTTTTGGCACATAGAAGCACCACAAGTAAGTCATGACGTCCTCTACTGTGTCAGTTCTGACACAGCCAGTCTGGCAGTGACTCTGGCATCATGAAACCTTCAACAGAGTAATCAAACGGTGGTGTATTGAGAAGCATATTTACTAAATAGTGGCATTGTGTTAAGAAGCGCACTTTCGCACATTTAACAGCATATCACCAGTTGCAAGTGAGCTTTCTCCGTCATATTCGAAGCTTGTTTGAATATCTTTAAATGTAGAACACACCCTTTAACAGAGAAATCCGGACTATTGAAGATGGACCATGGGCGCAGCTGCAAATTTGTGCGAACTCTATCCAAATCTTTTTAGGTGTTTCTTGAGTAATTCATGACTTAGCAGTAAAATTTCGACTGGCTTAGTTTAAACCTTTACCCTGATTTTCCCGTTTTCATAACGAGGAGCGATAGGCACCAAATTTGACCCCCGCCGTTTGCAAACTAAGACCGATCTCACGATCGTTGATAAAAGTTTGTTGCTAGGTCAATGATTGACTCCATTATGCTAGGCCAAAGGTCAATCGTTTAAGAAAATTGTACTTAATCAGCTTTGCATATCCATGTTCGCAAAAGCATGCCAGACACCAGTAAACAGCTTACGCGGACGTATTTCTTGTTTAATTCTGAGCATGTTGGTGCGTAATTTTGTGCGTTTGAGCATACGTCTATGATGCAGGGCTCCGTTCACGTGGCAGTGTCGGCCCACCGTGCACGATGAGCGGATCCGTGGGTTGCGGCCCGCCTCCCGCGCCGGCCGTGGATACCGTGCATAATATTCCTAAAAACACCGTTTCTTCTGTGAGCCAGAAATTCTAGGGACACGTCTTTGAGGCAAAAACACATGCAGTAACTTTCCTATATACTGCTGAAAATTTGGGCGTGATTGCACGACACACCGGAGAAATATCTTTTGGAAAAACCTCAGAGGGGTTGAGGTTGGGGGGTGTATGGACCCGTCGATCAGAGCCAGACTGAAAATTTTTCTTCGTCCAAGGTACAAAGTTAAGTTTTAGATATGTGGGGATGCTCTCTCATGACTGTTGTAAAGCGTTTGGGTGACAGTGAATGAAAACCAGTGCTCCGCTACTCATGATGAGCAATGTGTACGCGACAGTTTTTTTCCGTTAGTTCTGCAGGTGTCGCACGGTTATATTAGGGATGCTATCAGACCTCATAACAACATAACGACCTAAGATCACTGGAGGTCGAGGTCACGCTAGGCCAGGTCTTCAAATTACATCGTGTAAGTTTCAAAACTCGTATTATCGATAGCCAAAGTGACTGAGACGACTCACCGGAAGTGTGAGAGTCATTTATGTATAGATCACTTCGGGTTAAGCTCTCAAAAACGCCCCAAAACATTGTTAGCAGAACTCGTACAGTGTTTCAAAGTAATCTTACCACCAATGCAAAATCACCGGGCATCTAGTTCATATGATATCAGCACTTGCGTATCACTTCATGTCTTCAGCTGATGCGTTTATGCATTACATTCATTCTTGCATTTACACAGCGATTTTATTTTGGTCATTAGCCATAGCCTGATTTTACCTCGTTTTCCCATAACTTTAAGCCGTTATCATAGCTTATGCATCGCTGTCCTCTTTTCACGTGGTGCCCATTGTACGACTCTGAACTCCCGGTGATCTCCAATCACTTCCTGAAAGTAAGTATTGCCATGTCTATAGCCTCACACTGCCAACACAAAGCTAACAGCTGATAAAAGGCTAACAAAGCGCAGGATATATTGCGAGAATAGCTGTGTTAAGCTGTAGATCACATGATGGACTGCCTCTGCACTTGTGTTGTTTGTTGCCACACATCGTGTGTAGAGCGGTCAGTCAGTCGTGCCTCTTGGCCGTCGGAACAGGAGAAATGCCAAGATAGTG